AATTTAGGGAGATAGGTAGTACAGAACATTATCTCATATTTGAATCTGCTTTTCCTTCAAATATTGAAAATTATTGAAAGGATCGAAATGATGATTAATGCTACAACTGAAGACAGAAAACAAAATAAATATGCATCATGGAAAATGCATCTGTAATGTGCTCATGATAAAATGCTATTTTTTTTTAAAAAAAAGATCAAACTAAGATTAAAATAGAATGAACATTTTTAAAAAGCCTAGCCAACACAATAAAATCAAAATCTTATCTTAGTTTTAATTTTGTCCCTGGAACAAGCTTGTACTCAGGGGTATAGAATTCCATTTGCTGAATGGATAGTTCTGCAAATTAACTTTTTCTTTTTCCAGTCATTCAACCAAAAATTTGCATCACTTTTTAAAATATACTTCATTTGATTTAAATGAAAATTTGAATCCAGATGCAAATACAGACCAGACCCAGTAACATTACTGACAATAGCTTATAACACCTGAAATTGCTCATAGAAGTATACAAAAACCCCACATCTTTAACTGATAAACAACAATCAGTAATAGAAACACCTATCCTAAAATCAAACAATAAAATAGTAAAAATATAAGAATTATTCCCAATATTCATTTTCAAAAGACAGGTAAGGTAAAGAAGTCCTTGCTGTTTTTATTCTGCTAGTTGTTGCTGACTTTAGGTGATGGTGCTCATCTCAATTTCAAGGCCATTGAGGCAGCGCTGTCTGAAGACATTTCCATAGTCATGTGGCCACCATGACATCACGTGACACATCACATGTTCAAAATACAGGGTGGTCCTAAAACAATTGTTCTGCATATACAAGTATCTTCAGTTGTAAAAGTACAGGATCAGCCATATTTCCCTTGGAGAAATAGTCTATGCTTTCTACAAGATGTTGCCACCACAAAGCCCCTCTCCAGACCATCACACTCGAGCCATACCCACTGATGGAACCATGTTCCACAGCAGAATTTAGAACCTCTAGTACCTTCAACATTCTTGGGAGAGGAGGACTTTTGAAGACAAGGCAGTTTTATAGACTAATGTTAATACCTTAACTTGGCCCCAGAGTCTCCTTGGCTTATGTTCCTCTTCCTATGCAATGAATTCAGAGCAGTCTTTTTTCCTAATTTCAAGCTTAAAAACTAATTTAACTAACTTAAATTCCATTGATTATAAAGCTGACTACATCTTGATCAAAGTTACTGCAAACAAAATATTTCAAACCAATATTTAAATAAAAAAAATATTGATTGGTTTAATTATTATAAAATTTTGAAAGATTTAAACTTGATAAAAAAAGTTTTGTTTTCACAGAAACTAAATCTGGACTGGATGTTAATTTATATTCTGAAGTTGACTACTTGATTGTTAAAGTATATAAAATTTTACTCAAGATGAATCTGGAAAATGAATACGTTAAAGATTGTATGCTAAAATGGGCAAAACAATTTGGGTATAACATAACACTAGATAAATGGGAGAATGTATGGACTAATGGACTAAAATGTACATTAAATTATAGCTTGAAAGAAAATTTTTATAAAATGATGTATTGTTGGTATTTGACCCCAGATAAAATAGTGAAAATGTATAAAAGGAATACTAGTAATTGTTGGAAATGTAGTCAAAATCCAGTCACAATTGAAATTACAATTTGGGGTGCTATTTCTTCACATGGTGACAGCTGCGAAGATTATACTTGTCAAGCACTGGAAAGAAAAAGGAATGCCTGTTGAACTGCTGAAGAATGGATTTTAAAATTGGCTGAATTAACCGAAATGGCGAAATTAACTGCTCTGATCAGAGATAATGGACTAGATAGCTTTAAAAGAGATAGAAAACCCTTTGTGGACTTTCTACATACCACATGCACTAACTATTAACAGAGGGATTTGAAGATTAGTGTAATGTAAAGGGGAGGAGAATTTACTGTTTTTTCTTTTTTTTTTTCGGCATCCATCCGGGGTGGATTCTTTATGTTAAATGTTAAATTTATTTGGTATAGGATCACCTTTTTCTTTTTCTTTTTCTGTACACTGATCTTTTTTCTTTTTTTTTTTAGTGTTGGACATATGTTTTTGTTTTGTTTTGTTTGTTTGTCTTTCTGTTTTCTATTTTATCTTTTATGATAAAACAAAATAAATATACCTAAAATGAAAAAAAATTGCATGTCTAGGGTAAGAGTGGGAAAGAGGAGGTTGGCATCTTTAAAAAAATGCAATGCAATGCAATGATGTAATGTTACACAGGTTTATACAGGAAGTACTCAACTTATGCCCACAACTGAGCCCAAAATTTTTGTTGTTAAGTGAGATGTTTGTTAAGTGAGTTTTGCCCCATTTTACGACCTTTCTTGCCATAATTGTTAAGTGAATTGCTGCAGCTAATAAGTTAGTAACACAACTATTAAGTGAATCTGACTTCCCCATTGATTTTGCTTATCAAAAGGTTGCAAAAGGGGATCACATGACTTTGGGATACAGCAACAGCCGTAGGTATGAACTACTGTAGTTGTCAAGCATCTGAATTTTGATCACACAATCATGGGGATGCTATAAGGTTGTAAGTGTGAAAATCGGTCAGAAGTCACTTTTTTCAGTGCCACTGAAACTTTGAACAGTCACTAAATGAACTGTTATAAGTTGAGGACTACCTGTACATTTATGAGATTAGTAAAATGGATACATTCCTTGGTTGACAAATCAGATACCAAGTTCTTGTTTGTTCTGTTACAATGAAATGGAGCAATATTTTCTGTTATCTGGTTTTAAAATATACTTACTTTCATGTGAGATGGGCAGTTATACAAACATGTTAAATAAATATACTTATTTCAAAACATCCCAGCAATAGGTGAGTGAATTCCAGTAATTGATTTTGCAAGCTACTGACAGCATTTTGTACAGAATGGAAGAAAACAGGAACATAATTCAGGTAGCAACTGAGAGCCCCAAATAAAAGAGAAATGTCATCCAGAGAAAGAAGGGCTATTACCATCCTTCAACCCCTGGACCTTGCTGATTCTCCTTCTTATGGGCATGGTCTATTCATCTGCCCAGCTAGAGTAAGGCCCACTGGGAAGTCTCTTTCTTCAATTACTAACCCTTCTAAAGAACTGTCTATTCCTTGTGAACATTTTCAACTTGTACCTTGGCAAGAAGCCTCAATTCTCTCAAAGCATTTCTCCATCAAACTCTCAGAGGAGGACAGCAGAACCCATGGGGTGAATGAAACACATGTAGCTATGCTTCCATTTTTATTCTGACATTTAGAGAAAGTCATATTTTTAACTGTAGTTATATTTGGAATGATAGCGTCTCGGTGGAATGCATAGATAGTAGGGGAATGATTTTGGTGAAAACTGTTAGCATGCAATTTCAGATGGAAGAAGTGCCAGAAATTCCTTTAGTCCAGAGGAAGGAAGGAAGGAAGGAAGGAAGGAAGGAAGGAAGGAAGGAAGGAAGGAAGGAAGGAAGGAAGGANTTCTTTTCATAAATAAGTACCAAATAGAAAAAGAAGACAGGAGAATTCAGCACAATAACATGCCAGTTTGTTTTCTTCATTCTAATTATACTTTTCCCCTGCAAGAATGAATCACTTTTCTAGCTTGAAAAGGGAAAGGACAGTACTTGAAGGAACAGTACTCTTGATCAAATTTTAATAAGAAATCCTAAATATACCGAATAAGCTTTTTTTAAAGGTATGATTTTAAGATTTTGCATTTCAACGAGTAGGATGGCTCTGAAAATAAACTTTAATGAACACACCAGGGTTTACATCTCAGTCAATATGTATTTATTGCACACATTTATTTGTCAAATTAATATCCTACCTTCTTTCCAGGAGCTCAGGGCATTGTAAATAGCACCACCTCTTCTCATTTTCCCTCAACAGTGAGCTGTGAGCTGGGCTGTGAAAGAGCACCTATCCAAAGCCACCCAGTGAGTTTCCAGGACTGAGGGGGACTTTAAACAGGGTCTTCCCAATCTTAGTCCAACAACAGTCACAACACCGTAATATAATTTCTCATACTGGAGACCAACATAATTTTGCTAACATAATTCCAATCGCACCAAACAGTAAATATTATCTGGACTAGACTGAGTGCCTGGTCATTTACTACAGACTATAAAGCAGGGATGCCAGCTTTATAGTCAAACTGCCAGCCTGCGGGCCAGACGCGTCATGTGGAAGCCGTGCCCACCCCATTGCCGGCAATGGCAAAACTCTCCCGATACATTGCGCGACATCACGTGACCTTGCAAGTTTGACATGTTGCTATAAAGATTCAGCTTCTTCAGAGCATTGGAAGAAGAGGCATGCTGCAATGATTTCAATGAATGGGTTTTCCACATACAACTTGCTTTAACAATTATGGAAAGTGCTACTGAAACAGATGACATTTTCCAATGCAAAGATTTTTGAAAAATATGCAAAACTGAATTGATCAGTTTATATGATTAGATAGACTATTAATAAAGCTTTTAACTGGTCCATAGTGAAAACTTTTCCTCACTATCATATGCGAACAAGATGAAGCCAACTGTAAACTGTGACTTAGTCAGAAAACAAGTTTTTATTAATATGCTAACTTAATTTACCCACCTTGATTACAAATTCTCTAAATAAATTAATTAGCTCCATATTTTTTAAATAAAGAATATATTGCTGCAGCACGAATAAAATATTATGATACATGATATGATATGATAAATATAATAATACAATATAATAAAACAGAAATTCTCTTATATACAGTATAAACTAGGAATGGCTAGATTTTTTTTTAATGTGGAACAAAAATTTCCATTTATATAATAAGGCATCTAAGAACAATTTCAAAAGCTCATTCCAGACGATTTTCATAGAATTTACTTTCATGTTCAAGAAGGCATCATATATTTTAAGGAAGGAATTATATCAGGAATTTAATATTAAAAGAATCAAAGTCTCTGAACAAGATCTATTTTCCTATACACATACTCACGGTAATTTCCTGTTCGTAAGTCCAAACACCACAGGCCAGTTCAACGCAGAATATCACGAGCAAACTTCCAAAATACTGCAGAACAGAAAAAAACATTCAATTTTTTATTATTTTAAACTAAAACCAGTCTTAGAAGAGTATCTTTTCTAGCCATACAACTCCAAAAGGAAACAAATATATAGCTCCCTTAAACAAAAGCACAAACTGGTTAAATTAGCAAGTATGATTTTGACTATTTTAACAATCTAAAACAGTAATCTAAAATTTGGGCTGCATTATTGGGCAAAACTAATTGGGTCTTAATTTCCTGAATGTACTTTTTTGTTGTGGTTGTTGAAAACTGGCCTTGTCTACATTTAGAAACTAAGAAGGGTTAGCTTTGGCTAAGCCATGGATGAGAGATTTCCACAAAAGAGGAGCTGGAAACTAGACTGGGAATTTAAAAAAAAATCTTGAACGAAAGCAAGACAATTTTGCACTTTTGAAAAGGGAAGATGAGAGAGATCCACATAGGCAACAAGAGTGGAGTCTGTCTCAAAAGTATATTTATTCTTTACCTTAATAGCAGTCTCAGGAAAAAAAAGAGGGGTGGAATAGGACTAGGGAAATAGGTAATAGCGATGGAGTGCAATGATTCCAATAAAAATTCTTCCCAAGTCCGTTCATTCATTCATTCATTCATTCATTCATTCATTCATTCATCACATTTCTGAACTGCCCATCTCTTTCAAAGAGAGACTCTGGGTGTGTGTACAATTAAATGTCAGCATATAAAAACTATAAATAAAAATTAAAATGTTAGAATTAAAATTTCAAAATTAAGCAATTTTAGAGGGAGGCAAGAATAATTAAGCCCTGTTAAAAATGAATCGAAAAGGTGAAGTTTCTCAGAGCACCTTCCTGCCCTATGGCTGCACGCTCCTTTGGGCTCCCCGAGTGAGGCCACAGAGACATGTTTCTTCAGGTTACATTTTCCTCCAATGCAGTATTTCTCAACCTTGGCAACTTTAAGATATGTGGACGTCAACTCTCAAAATTCCCCAATCAGCAATGCAAATAGCATGTCTGGGGGGTAGCCTTACAACCATTTTGGCCCCAGCAGATCTAATCCTGTTATCAACCACATTACAAGACTGCTGTTTATCAGAAATCATCCAATTTGTCCATTTCTAGTTTGGCTTCACACTGGACCAATTAAAATAGTCAAACAAACAAACAAACTTTGCAGATAATCATGCAGTAACCATTCTAAATAAGCCAACCTTGATTTCTAAAATGTAAGATGATAGCCATAAAAATTAGAGTTTCCATTCTATGTATGTAACAGACCATCCACTTCAAAGAAGAATTATTCTATGCTTTATGCAACATGGGAAAATGAATTTATTTATTTATTTATCAACTGTATTCGCTGTCTATCTCGCCATTCAGGCGATTATGAGCAGTTTCAAAATTATGTCAAACTCTAGATTTACTTGCACAAGACCATGTGAACGCACAAGAACTGCTACAGACTATACCACTCACCTCATTCGCCTCAACCTGGCAGTATGGCTCAAAGGATTATGTTCTTTTCTCCCATGGTTCCTTTTATCAACTTTGAATTTCTAACACAGACAAATAAAATTAACTGGTCTGTTGAGTTACTCTGAAATGGAAGCAACACTTGTCACCAAGAAGGTAGCTGTAATGAATACTCTTGGCAGGGGCCGGTACAGTGGTGGGATTCAAATATGTGAACAACCGGTTCTCTGTGTGGATGCTGCTTCCGGAAGTCCATTCTGGGCCTGGGCAACAAAAAATAGCTACTGGTTCGGCCGAAGTGGTGCGAACTGGCTGAATCCCACCACTGGGCTAGTAGTATTGTTTTAGATAGTATGTTTAAGTTTTACTTTTTATGATTAACATGCTAAGCTGCAGTCCACAATATCACTAATCCATAATTGTACTTACTAGTTACCATTACTGTGTAAACTGCATCAATGGGCTAAAGTGCAAAGTGAAAAGAATGATGCAATTAGCAGCTCAACTTCTGTATACTACACTCAAAAATACACATTCCGTCTTCCAGTAATCTTATGTTAGCATGATAGTCAGTATTATTATTCATATCACAAAGAGTGGTTTATTTAAGGCCATCTTGTGAGTTAATGAGATTGAACCAACAGGCCTGTGTCTTACAATACTAAATTGTAGTCATTATACTGTCTCAACTTTTTAAAACTCAGCCTAAGCTATGTGATGATTAGGTCAAGTTCCAGGATAGATATAAGAAATTATTTCTGTTAGTGTCCAACTGAAGGGAAATTGAGTTGGCAAACTTCAATAATACTAGCATATTCTTTTTTTAAGTCCAAACACCAGAAGATGTACACAGAACTTTAGAGAGGTATATTGCTCTTATATACTATTCCCACTAATTATGAATACAAAGAATAACAGAATAACAGACCAAATTCTAATAGAAAGAGCCCTAACTTGCATAAAATCTTGAGTACACTAGAAGCAAGCTCCAGTAAATACAGGTATTCCTCAACTTATGGCCACAATTGAGCCCAAAATTTATGTTGCTAAGACATTTATTAAGTGAGTTTTGCCCCGTTTTACAACCTTGCCACATTTGTTAAGTGAACTGCTGCAGTAATTAAGTAACACAATTATTAAGTGACTCTGGCTTCCCCACTGACTTTGATTATCAGGTCACAAAAGGTGATCACATGACTCTGGGACATTGCAAGGTCATAAATACATGCCAGTTGTCAAGTGTTAAAATTCTGATCACATGGCTATAGGGATGCTCCAATGGTGTAAGTATGAAAAATGATCATAAGTCACTTTTTCCAGTGCTGTTGTAACTTTGAATGGTCACTAAACAAACTGTTGTAAGTCAGGGACTACCTGTATTACTTATTGCATTTTGAACAGCAAGTTCAAGTAAATATATTGTAGTGAATTAAAGGGCCTGCAGACTATTTGATGACTATGGACTGATTTATCTTTTCTGCTTGTCATGGTGTGAAAATGCCGTACAATCATTTAGCATCTTCAGTCTATCCCTAACCTACCACCATTGGCATCTTCTTGTTCAGAAGAAATGTTTTCCAGCTTCCTCTCACCTAAATGATAACATCTGGTCCCTTCGAAGTGCATCAAACCAAAGTGATTGTATCAAGCTGCTGTGGGCAACCTATCATGATTCCTGGTCATTGGTTTTTAGGATATCTTACTTTTGGCAGTGAAAAGCCCTCTCTCTCTCACCATACTTGCCAACCCATGGCTAGCAGCAGTAGTGGGAAAAGAAGAGTATGAGTTCTTTTGGGCACCAGTTCTCCTGGCACCAAAATAACCTGCTTCCTCACAGTTGAAAAGCCAATTTCCCACTTCCATTCCCACAAGATTTGACTTGCTCTCCAGCCCACATTTGCCCATCCCTCCATCTTAAAACTGCTTTTGTATACAAGTATCGAGTGGTCTTCAGGAATACAGCTTTATTGTAGGGCTGCTGGCTGCAGAGCCAGTTCCACACTCTTTCCCTTGTCAAGGGGAAGAAATGGGGAGATAGCTGCTTTGGTTCCACAACTCCAAACCCAACTCCATGTGTTCTCCATAAGAGAAAGTATTGGAGAAGACCTCTGGGTCTTCTGCTGCCACTTACTGGAACCCTAGGAAACATTCCTCACCCCACCTCCCTCCTTCTCCAATTTCCTACGCCAAGACATAATGTGGCTTGACAGTGCAATCAGTACTTCTTTAAGACAGCAAGCTGTTCTATATGACAGTACTTTACTGTTGCTTTGGGGGGGAAGACCTATTGGTTCTTAAAGCCACTTTAAGACAGTGTTGGCTGCAGGTCCTCAAAGTAGTAGGCACTATAGGAATCGGTTTTCTGACTGGTTGCCAAAGCTCTGAGAGAAAGGAAACCATAATGGTGAAGTTGGCATGGAAAACATAGGCATTTGGAAAGGTTTTTTCCCCCCAATGCTACTTTGATCAGTCGAGTAACTTTGCTTTTGCTTATATTTTCTCTCCTGTTTCCTGATTTAATTGTGGTTAATTTTTTTGTATATTCATCTACTCCTACTATAGCTTAATTCTATCTTAGTATCCAAGTATGCTTTTTCGGGAAGATGTTAAAATAACATTTGGGGAGGTGCTATGGATATTGGAGGGTGGGCATGTGCTATAAGCAGATACTAGACAGAAGGCAGGTGGGTGCACAGGAATCGCAGAGTGATGGATGGGTGCTGAGGACAGGCGCTAGGGAATGCAGGAAGATGTGCAGGTATAATGGGAGAACAGGCACTATTGAGCACAGTGCCATGGGGGATGGGCAAGTGCTGATAGGCGCCAGAAACCATGGGCTGGTGAAAAAATATTAGAGTAGGAGCAACTTCCAATTTCCCGCCGGCTTCCCTACTGACTTTGCTTCTGAGAAACCAGCAAGGAATGTTAGAAATAACAATCACATGACCATGTCTTGCTGCAACATTATAATTGTGAGCCATGACCGTGGGGACATTGTGATGTTGTGAACTCTGAGGACCCATCCCAAATCCCCTTCATTCATCACCATTGCAAATTTGAACTAACAAGTGGTTGTAACTTGACGACTATCTGTACTCTTCCATACATGAATAGAACAAAGCTAAATAAATGTACAGCAAAGAGTGTGTCCTATCAAGACAGTCCTTCAGAGCATACAATGGAATTATGGGGAAAATGGGAGAACAAACTGAAGCTTTCTTCCTAGCAGATCTGTAAACTGAACTAACTGAACTAACTAGCCATCAGTCAGAAAAAAGCAATAAAGGAGCAAAATCGCGATATATTCAAGATTAGCTTAGGAGAATTGTTTGCAGTAAATGGGGAAAAGTCAGAACACAATCATTTTTAAGGGGTTTTTCCCCTCAAAAATACAATCTTGCTTATAGTAAAGTTTTTCCTTTTTCTGTCATTATTACAGCATTATTAGAAATTAATTTCCCAAGGCACATCTTCCACTTTATTATTTCTCTTTTATTTCATTGATCAGTGATCAACATGCACACAGTATGTCTTATAGGCTGACTTCACAA